GTGTGCAAGGCCCGTGCCAATCGGCAAAACAATGAAACAGAAAACGGACACTTACCCAGGACACAGCTAAATCAGACAACATGGGTGAGCATGTGGGAAAGGCAACGGTTGAGCATGCATGCTGGAAACGTGCTGCTGCGATCCTCCCACATCGAAGGCACCTGTGCTGAACCAGGTCAGCGGAGCGCAAAACGGCCCGCCGAGGAGCTTGGCCATGGGCACGGTCGCGGTTGTTTGAAAATGCTGCCCGCGACTGACTGAGAACCTCGAGAAGCAAGTCTGTGCCGCATCATCTGAGAAAAAATACCCATACCGCTACCCTTTCGCCCGGTCTGCTCTCTTTCAGCCTCCTGGGAGGCCCTCGTCGCCACCGCTGGATTCGCCTCGAAATTCTGGTCAGAACGCACCCCAGGAGAGGTCCTGGGAGTAGCGGAATCGGTACCTGCGGGTCTCCCCACATCAGCTGACACACCAGACCTAGGAACCTGCAACAGAAGCCGCACTACAGTCTGGTATTGACGAATGCTCGCAGATGTTGCTCACAGACAATATTGCTCCGCCAGTCTGCGCGCTACTCTTCTTCCTGCCCGCAGGTCAGCCACAGCGCATGCAGCAATGTGACAGCGTGTTGCAACATCACACAGATATGCATCCGCTTCAAGAGAAAAGCCTCGGCGGGGCTGGGAGCTCTGTAGTATCCGTGAAGCTTCCTTCCGCCTGTGCATAAGGAAGCCTGAAATCCATCGCCGACGCAGAAACACCATTCCGTCTATGGACCGTGAGCTGGTAGACACAGGATGCAGAAGACCTACATTTGCTTCATCACGTTCCTGCCCGAGCGAAGAGAAGCTCGCGACGCACAGCGCCTTCGGCGTGGGTGCCAGCAGCGAGGCGACCTCCCCCTCATCTCTGGAGGTACCGTTTGAACGACTGCCTTAGCTCATGTGCTACCGTCCCCCAGCATGCGCCAAAACGCGCTCCTTACCACGCACGGCTGGCAATCGCACGTTGCATAACCGCTTAAAAAAAAGACTAGAACAATCCTGGCGCAACGAAACACGGCCAACTTCATTGCCCAATCGATCCGTCGTCACAGGCGCAATATCCTCCTCGTCCTCCTACCCAGCTGCCCGTCGCGGCAGGATTGATGCAAGCTTGGCTGCACACACAGGGAGGCTCCCAAACAGACATTATGAGTTGGGGCGCTCTTGGTGGCTTACATCGAAGACGTCCCCGAGGCAATCCCTAGACATCGAAGAAGCCACACACAAACACCAGAAAGTCGACCTATGGTTCCAAGAAACCCCCCTCGTCTTGACCGCCCTGTCGTGCCGGCCAATGCCGCACGGGGGGCCTCCTGGGCCGTCTGGGAGCGTTGGAAAGCCTACGAGGCGAATTTGTGAAAAATATACGTTTCACGAAGGACATGAGCACATTTTTGCGTCTAGGGACTCTCTTTGGACGCATCTTGGAGGCCTCTTGGGACTGGAGAGAGGATCTTCCCTCTCCTCCGCCACCCTGCCTTGACCAACTGTCCCCGAGAACACGCCGCCTGGATATAACGACAGAGTCGCGGCCCCCATGCCGCAGCCGATCCGAGTTCCTCCTGCGATCTCCGCACCCACAGAATTGACAGAGAGGGAGAGAGAGAGAGAGATTCCTATTTCGAAACAGAGCGGGGGGGACAGAGAGGAACTGAGGCAGAACGGGAAAGAGAGGAAGAGAGAGAGAGAGAGAGAAAGAGGCATCGTCAGACGCATTGGGCTGGACAAGGGGAGGAAGGGACCTGGTGTAAGCAAACAGGCATGTGTATGTGTGAGTATGTGTATGCACATATATGTATGGATTTCAGCCGGCGTGGACCCAAAACAGCGTGCGCCTAGCAATACTTGTTGTGCACTCTATGTTGTGGTGCAACCCATGTGGTCCAATGTCTGTGGTATGTCGATGTGTTGCAACATATGTCGTGCAATAGAAGTTGTGCAGCCAATGTGATGCAATGTATGTGCTGCAACGCATGTGCTGCGTACTCTGTTGTATAATCTACGTCGTGCAGTATTAAAAGGTGCTACCAATGTTGTGCAGTATGCTTGGTGCCATACACGTGTAGCAATATAGATTTGTACAATCTACGAGGTGCGCGATACATGTGTTACATCTCTGCTGTGTAACATATGCAGTGCCAACTATTTGGTGCATCGTGCGAGGTGCAATATGTGTGGTGCCGTATCTGCGGAGCAGTCGATGTGGATCAACATAGGCGGTGCTACCTGACGAGGCGGCGACTTGACGGCAATCGCCTGGATTGCAACGGGGGTGTGGGGGGGTGCAACAGGGCGGCGGCGAGGGGACGGGGTGGCGACGGCGACAACGAGGCCGCCAGACTGGCGGTCAGGCCCAGACGCCCAGACGACGGGCGGCAACGAGGCGGCGACGGGGCGGCGACGGCAGCAACAAGGCGGCGGACCAGACAAACGAGCCCAGGCGACGGGCGGTGACGAGGCGGCGACGGCGGCAAGCTCTGCTCTGTATGATCCATTCTGTAATTGAGTGTGGTGCTATGTTATGCTGTGGTATGCTGTCGGTGTAACGTATTATGCCGCGCTCTGTCATGTTGTGGTGTTGCTACCTGTCATGTCATATGTGCTGGGATGCTGTGTTACGTTGTGGTGTGTTCGGTCATGGTATACTTTGCCATGCTCTGTTCTGTCATCTGGTGATATGTTGTGATACAACATATAATGATGTACCATGTGCAGGTATGTATGATGCTGTCAATCACAACATGCGTTGTTACGCGGTGTTGCGCTATGCTGTGCTACGTCATGTTACGCGAGGCTGTCATGCTCTGTCTTGGTATGTTCAGTTCAGCGACGTGTTCTTATGATATGCTTACGTTGTCCTGTTATGTGATGTTATGTGCTGTGAGTGTGTGCTATGGTATGCGCTGCTCTGTCATTGTGTGGTATGATACGGTATGGTCTGTCTCATGGTATGGTGTGGTATGCTCGGATGTGTTATGTTAGGTGGTTTGCGGTTATCTTCTGTTCTGCCACATCTTATAGCATTGTGCTATAATGTGGTGTGCTATGTTGCTAGTTTATAGTTGTACCGCTCTGTTATGCCATGACTTACCGGCGCTACAGCATGCCAAGGCATAACACATAATTCCATAACACACCATGGCAGAACAGATCAAACCGTCGCACAGCATCAAATCACAACGTACTACATGACATGACAGCTCATGCCATGACAGAGCGCGGCATACCACCTTCTACCATATCATACCATGTAATTTCATTACACCACAATATACCACTACATAACATGTCATACCATGATAGAACATAACATACTGGGACATAGCATAACAGCATAACATTGCCCTCTCCCTCCTCCTCCTCCTGCGCGAGTATGCCTGGGCGTTCTACGTTGCACGGACTACGATCATCAGGTCGTAGCGTACATTCCTCTTCCTCCTCCCCATTCTCATGCGCGAGCATGCCTGGGCTTCTTACGCTGCACGGACTACGATGATCAGGTCGCAGCGTCCAATCTTCTTCCACATCCTCCTCGCCCTCCTCTTCCTTCTACGCGGGTAGTTCTGGGTTTCTTGTTGCACGGACTACGATCATCAGGTCGTAGCGTCCATTCCTCCTCCTCATCCGAAAGCATACCCAGGCTTCTTACGCTGCGCAGACAACGATCATCAGATCGTAGCGTCCATTCCTCCTCTTCCCCCCCCTCCTCCTCCTCCTCCTCCTCCGCCTCCTCCTCGTCCTCCTCCGCCTCCTCCTCGTCCTCCTCCTCCTACGCGAGCATGCCTGGGCTTCTTACGTTGCACGGGCTACGATCCTCAGGTCGCCGCGTCCATTCCGCCTGCTCCTCCTCCTCCTCCTCCTCCTCCTCCTCCTCCTCCTCCTCCTCCTCGTCCTCCGCCCCGCCGCAGCTCTTCTCCTTGAGGTGGCCGCCCGGCTGCGCCCGCCTCCCCCCTTCGCAGGAGACCTGAGGGATCGCCAGCAGGAGCGTACATACGCCGCAGACCAGCCCCATCAGCGGCGATGCTGCACCTTCTGACCAAGTCCCAACGACCCGGACTTGCATCCCTTCCTCTTCTTACTTTGAATATTCCTAGTCGTCTTCTTCGTGATACGATCATCAAGTGTATTATCATTGTTCCGTTTCGTATTCCTCTTCTTTGGTGTCTTCTCCTCACCGTTTCGATTCAGACTAGCGTCGCGATGTCCCAGCGACTCTCGAGGCCCCTGGAGGTGCCTGGAAGCCTCCAGAGGCAGAACAAGACGACACACAGAAGCAACCCCAAAGCCTCGATCCTCGATGAACCCCAACCGCCCACCCTGACCTCCCAGGAGGGGCGACAAAGACAGCACCCGGATCTGAGAAGGCCACTCCCGAAGTCGAGGGCCAGAGGCTGGCCCGAAGGCATACAGGCCTGGAGGGCTGTCTTGCAGCACTCTGGAAGGCCAGGGCCCTCTGCCCCCCTGAAGAGGAGGGCACGGCGACCCCAGTCCCAGACTTTGTGGCGTTTTCGATCGGACACAGAGCTTGGGGCCAAACTCGGGATATACGAGGGGGTGGGGCGTCCATCCAAGAGCTCCCCGGAGGTGTATCCACGAATTCCCCCTCCTTTCTGATCTGTTGGGGGGACTCGGGGATTGGGCAAGAAAAAATCGCCTGCGACCCTAGGGTCCGAGGCCAGTGCTCCCCAACAGCACAGTGCCAGCTCCGTTCAGAGCCCCGTCCGCCCCGACCCCCCAGCGTTCCCTGGCATCCCAGGAACCCCCTCCCGCCTTTTGTCCCTTCCTCCTCCTCCTCCTCCTCCTCCTCCTCCTCCTCCTCCTCCTCCTCCTCCTCCTCCTCCTCCTCCTCCTCCTCCTCTGCCTCTCTTTTCTTTCCTCCATGTTCAAGAGCCATGGCACGCGTGCCACTTGGATCGAGTAACGGTCGTTACCTAGGGGTGGGGGTGGGGCCGCGGGTAGCGGTAACGCTTTGGCGGGGTGGGGCACGTCGGGGCAGGGGTGTGCTGCGATAGCCATAGTATGCGCGCGAGCACCAACATGTGATGGCTAAATGGGGGGGATCCGGGTCTCCCCCCCCGCATACGATCGTTACTGTTACCCGGGTAGGGGGTGGCCGGGGTTGGCCCGGGTACAGTCGGGGTTGATCGGAGAGGACACGCGAGAGGACACAGGCCCTTCCGAGGGCCGCACTGCCACGGGAATGCAGAAAGCATGGGTCGCGAAATCCAGGACATAAAGGGTACCCTTGATTTGGCAGCGCGGGCCTACTTATCGTAAGTCGGGCATGTCCCCCTACAGGCGGACTTTGGGCGAAAATTCAAAATAGCAGAAACAAATTCAAGAGTTGGCAGACAATCATCGGAAAATCGTCCCCGCACTATTTTTTTTACTATTTGTGGATATTCCTCCTGAAGAGGGACGTGCCGCACTTCATACTCGGGAGCGGCCAAGAGGGGGGCGTCCAAGAGGGGGGGTGCAAATCATGACTGGTGGCATGTGCGCGGCCCAGGGGGAGGGCCAGGAACGTAACGAAAGAAGAAGACGCGCCCTGAAATCTGGGGGCATATCACGGCCCCCGCCATGATATCCTCCCCCCCCCCTAATCATCACCCCCCCCCTTTTCCGCCCCCGAAAAGAGGGACGTGCCCGACTTCATACCAATCGGCCTCGACTGCACCACTCGACGGCCAACGGCCGCTCACGCGCGCACAAACCGCCCCCGCGGGGGCCGCACCCGCCTCCCGCTGCTCCTCCTCCGACGCGCGGAGCCCGGACCCCCGACGCCATGACTTCATCCGCAACGTCGACGCCAACAGGATCTCCACCCACCTCTCCTACTCCTCCTTCTCCCCTCCTCCTCCTCCTCCCCTCCTCGTTCTCCTCTCCCCTCCTCCTCCTCCCCTTCTCCTCGTCCTCCTCCCCTCCTCCTCCTTCTCTGCCTCCGCCCCTCGTCCTCCTCCCTCCTCCTCACCTGGGACCAGTTTCGCACCCCGGATCGTTTCTCGGGCGTTCACTGGTGGGCGGACGGTGCATGGGGGGGAGGGGGGGGGGGACGTGCACCTTTCGTTCCTCGGGGGCCCCTGAGGGCCCCTTTCGAGCACACCAGGTGCAGCATCTTGGACCCCCCACACACACAGACACATTTCTCCCACCCCCCATACTCGACGCCCGAAATGTTGGACGCCCCGAGGCCGGCAAGGGCCCCGGAGGCCAAAACAGCGAAAAACCTTCTGCCGTGATTTTTCCATGACCCGAGTGTGTCTGCGGGGTACGGCACCCTGCCGGACGGGGCTAGAACGAAGATGATTCCGTTCCAAAGCGTTGCGGAACGCTCTGAGAGCGTTCCGGGACGCTCTGAGATGGCCGCGGCGCCCGAGACGTCCTCCAAAGCCGCTGGATCTCAGAGATTCTCGACGTATCCATAACCCGCTTTTCCTCGTCCTGGCTTCGTCTTACCCCGCGCCTGTCAGCCCCGCCACCATCGAGCGGCTCAGGGAGCCGCCAGCCGGCGCGCTGCCGGCCATGCCGGACACGACGCAGGCGACGCCCTGGCCTGGGCGGGCGACGGCGGCCACGACGACGACGACGACGACGACGACGACGACGACGACGACGACGACGGCGGCGACGGCGACGGCGACGGCGACGGCGACGGCGACGGCGACGGCGACGGCGACGACGAAGACGACGACGACCGCGACGATTGCGACGACGACGACGACGGCGACAACGACGGCGACGACGGCGACGACGACGACGACGGCGACGACGACGATGACCAGAAAGACCACGAGGTGGTGGCGGTGGTTGTACTCAGCATCTGGTCTAGTCTGCATCTGCAATTTGCTGACACTTGACCTGCATAGATGAGAGCAATTACTCTCGCAAAGCTTACAAGTCGGCACTCCCGGCACGACTGGTTATCCAATCTAGGATCACCTTGGATAACGTTAGGGACGAGGAGCTTAACGAGATCGTCCCGAACAGTGCACATTGGCACTAGGTCCCGAGAGTGATAAGACAGGACGGGCGAGGACGACGACGACGCCAGCGACGGCGACGACGACGACGACGACGGCGACGGCGACGACGGAGATGACGACGACGACGGAGACGGCGACGACGACGGCGACGACGACGGCGACGACGGCGGCGACGGCAACGACGACGACGATGACCAGAAAGACCACGAGGTGGTGGTGGTGGTACTCAGCATCTGGCCTAGTCGGCAGCTGCAATCTGCTGACGATTTGCCAGCATAGATAGGTCGGCACTCCCGCCACGACTGGGTTTCCAATATAGGAAGACCTTGAATAACGTCAGGGCCGAGAAGCCAAACGAGATCGTCCCGAACAGTGCACGGTGGCACTACGTAGGTGACTACCTACCAGACCGCCCCATCCCAACCCGAAGCCCCGCATTTCGGGTCAGGGGGGGGGGGTCACGGATTCCACATGTGTTTTTTCGCATGTTCCCCGACCCCTCCCCCTGGAAGTGGAAGGCAGATTGAGGCCTTCGGGCCGGGTTGGGGTGGGTGGGGCGTGGGTGGGTGGTGAGTGGGCCCCGAGACTGAGAGGGCGACGAGGACGAGGACGAGGACGACGAGGACGAGGAAGCAGCGACGTGGAGGGCGACGAGGACGAGGACGAGGACGTGGACGAGGAGGAGGACGTGGAGGGCGAGGACGAGGACGAGGACGTGGAGGGCGACGAGGACGAGGCCGCAGCGACGTCCGAGGCGGCAACGGTCGCGGCGGCACGGCCGCGCGGGACGCGGGCCGCGGCAGGCCCCAGGAGGGCCACGGCGGCGGCGGCGGCGGCTCCCGGCGGCGCGGCGCGGGGCCGTCGCGGGAGCGCTCGGCCCGCGGGCGTCGTCGTCGTGGCCCGGTCCTCCCTCCCTCCCTCCCTCCCGCCCTCCCTCCTCCCTCCTCCCCCCCTCCCCTCCTCCCTCCCTCCCTCCCTCCTCCCTCCTCCCTCCCTCCTCCCTCCCCCCTCCCTCCCTCCCCCCTCCCTCCTCCCTTCCCCCCCTCCCTGCTCCTGCCTCGCCCCTGGCCCCTCCCTCCTCCTGCCTCCTCCCTCTCGCATCTGCGGCCCCTCCTCCCTCCTCCAGCGACGCGGCCCCTCGTCTGCGCGACAGGCGGAGCTGGAGACTCGGCCAGATCCGAGGCCCCGTGGGCGTGGCCGCACTCTGTCGCTCGCGCGCTGGCGCTCTGGCCTCCACCGGGCACGAGGCCCGCGCCAGGGCAAGCTGGAGCAGGCTTCCCCCGCGCCCCCCTTTTCGACTACAGTCGGGGCGTTGACCCAAGGAACCCTAAATAAAGAACGAGGCCCCTGTTTTCCATAAGTTAAGCTTCGATTCCCATCGAAAATATAAGGAAAACCTGATGCAAGCTGTGAAACAATCAAGGAACACCGAGCCCCTCCCCAACGATAAGTGTTCCTTCTTCAGCGCCCCGACTGTACACACAGGAGTGGCCCTGCGCAAGAGAGAGGCCTTTGGTGCGCGGCTGTCGGCGGGCCGCGGGGGAGACCAGACACGGGTGCGCGAGACGCTACTACCGCATCGTGTTCGGTGATCGGGGGGCCACAGCACCAAAGGTCACTCCGGCGAAAGGTCACTCTTACGTCTAGTCGACCTTCCTCGGACGAGGGAAAGTGTCTGGTGGATGTCCTCGGCGGGTTAAGTATGCGCGGCAGGAGCCGGCCTCCAGGAACCAGGCATCGAGCAGCAGCGAGAATCCAATGGTCTATAGAGGCCTTACTGGACGGCGGCAGCATGACCCCCCTGCTCGCGGCGCTTGGCACTGGTGGGTGCGGCGCAGAGGCAGATGGTGTTGCACGGCATGCCTGCGCAAGCAGGGCGGTGCTCAGCCACATCCAGAGGGCGGCGCCTGGTCCATCGCAGCATAACAAGCGACCTTGGCCGTGACCCCTTTGTTGCTCGTGAGATATTTGATTGCATTGCTGATAGTGTGCGCCCGTGGCGAACGCATTACAAAGGGCGTCTGCATGACATCTCTGGCCAAACGCTGGAAGACTTGCGAGTGCGCACGTCCAGAACAGCTGGTGCGGATCCCAAATGAACAGCACCCAGACCCAACTAAAGACTGAGCTAGTACCGCTACGCGAGCTTCTCGACGGCACCTTCAAAACATGTCCTGTCGAATCCAGCCTGACTGCTCAAGCTTGTCCTCGGCGTATGCCTGGCCATCGCCCTTTCTATGGACTGGAGCTCGCATAATGGCGCAAAGCCTCGAACGGGGCTACTAACATCAACTCTGCATACACCGCGAATCCGAACCCTCCCACGACAAGGCCGATACTCGACGAACTTCCAAGGTCTTCCAGCGACAACCCGATGCGGAGCCCTTCATCCACGACTGCGGCCTCCGGGGAACTGCTCTCGGGCCCCACGCCCGCCAAAATAACGTCGCGGGCAAACACGAACTGGCCCCTGCGGGCAAGGGGGTCGAGAGGTCTCAGAGCCCACGCGTGGAACAAACCTGGGCGTCGGAGGTCTGGGAGAGGATCGAGGAGGATACAGGATCAAGGACGATCAAGGGCAGAGAAGGATTGAGGATGAGCGAGAACCGAGGGAGAAGAGGATCGAGGATCGAGGTCATCGCACCTTGTTGTCCTGTTTGGACCCATGGATGCGAACTCTAAACTTAAAATGCGCACACGCAGTTGCAATGGACGAGCACTGCTCCTCCTCCCCGCTGCTCCTCGCATCATCCACATCCCGAGGCACGCTTCGTCCACATCCTTCTCCTCCTCCAACTCCCAGCCCAAACTCCCCTTCCCCCATCCCCCCCCCATCCTCCATTCACCCCTCCTCCTCCTCCTCCACCTCCTCCTCCTCGTCCTCGTCCTCCTCCTCATCCTCAGCATCAACAACATCAGCATCATCATCATCATCGTCATCATCATCATCATCATCATCATCATCATCATCAT